CAATGGAGTTCCCCTTGAGTCCAACAGATGCCAAGAAGTGCTGCTACAAGGTGACGTCTTTACTACACGTGGTTGAAATCTAGTAAATAGATCTTAAGCGTAGTCAGAATAAATAATACTGCGGGATCAAGAATCACCTTTATATTCTAGAATTTATATCTTAAAGGGGTCCAAAGAACAAACATTATTATTGCATGTTATACTCTTAATGATTTTTCCTTTTACATAATGAATATATAACCAGACTCAAAGTCAAATGTGACTTTATTATTTATATCGGCTCACTGCAATCTTTGCTTTAAATGATTCATCACTTGCCAGTTGCTTTGGATTAATATCATATCAGGATGTTTGATGTTTAGTAAGCTATGACCTACTACGAGGTTTTACAAGCTTTTTGGCTGATCATGTCTCCACACTGGTCCAATATTTCCCCCAAAGTATTCGAATGTAACCGGAGCCACAGTATACCTCAAAACATTTCACAACAGCATTTCAACACATCATCTGTAGGATCTCTTTACTGTGCGTGGCCTAAATATTTCTGTTATATAGCTGTAGTTTTGATTCCAGATGGTACTGCTGTTTTATTATTTCCAACTTGTATCCCAGATTTAACATTTGAAAACACTCCATAAATATATATGGCACACTACAATGTAATTGTAAAACAGCACAAGGACATAAAGTGTTTGAGCGCTTTTGTCAGCAGCTAAAACATCTATAATTGGTTAAAAAATGATTCATGGCGGCATATTCATCGCTGCCATCGTATAAAAAAAATGACACAACATGATTAAACACTTCAGATGAAATATTAAGTTTTGATTTTCTGACAACTGAGTCCATTCAACTCAGTGCTGAAAAACCCACAAGGCCGCAAGATAAATACCTGGAGCGGCCTTGAGTTCAGAACGTTGGAGTTGGAATTTAGAATAATAAGCGTGACAGACAGAATTTCCCTGTAGCATGTTAGAAACCATTTGCTTAAATGAATACTGCATTGAAACACAAAATAGAAAAGCTTCTAAGTCTTGCTTTTGTTTAATCTCTGTGAATCCTCTGCTTTGGGTCTGTTCAAACAAGAGAAATTGCAGTTTTCTGACATTCTACAGACCCAGTGATTGATCGGTTGATCAGGAAAATAATTGGCAGATTAACTGACTACAAAAATAGGAGGAATTCATATCGCAGTGCAAACAGAAAACTTGCCTTTGAGGATATTAGTAATGTGAGTCAAATCCGATGGTGTGCTCAGACCTGTAACTTGACCTGCGCTGACATGGTAGGATGAAATCTCTTTCAAACAGGTTCATGCGCCTTCGTCTGATGCATCACAGAGGACCTCCACGTGTGATCCACGAGCCTCGACTGAGGAAATCTACCCATAATACAGCACGGCCTTAATTATCACTGAGAATGGGATTCTTGTGACCCGCCAACCTGCTCCTTTAGTTCCAAGCCTTCTCTAGGTAACCTTGCTCTCCAGCATCACCCGATTCATGAGTATTGATTGGCTGGGAAACACACACGTACACCCAATTCATCTTTTTTTGACCTCTTATGGCAAAGGTTGGTAGAAGCTAATAAAAAGCTAATTATTCAATCAAACTGCTCCTACAAGCAATTTTCCTTGAAACTATTTTGTCTCGTTCCGAGTAAAGCGCTCAGCTCGGTTTGAGTCAGGCCAGTGGGACGTGAGCCTTCATTAGAGTCTGATGTTGTTTTAGATTAGCGGACACGGCTCAGACGAAAAACAGCTGCTCGTCCTTAATAATCACCTCACTTTTGTGCTTCTGTCCCCAGCTGACTCTGAGAATTTTGCACTGAGTAAATAAAGCGGATACATCTCGTGTATTTAAACACGTTAGGTCTGCCCTTGATGACATATTTTCAATATGTTCACAGTTTCAGGGCATCGCTGTCCATGTAGCTCTATTAGTTGGATGTAATTAGGCTCAGACTGTGGCAACACAGCTGTTGAAAATCCATGAATACGTATAGTACTATGATTGATACCTTGCCATATAGCGTACAGGATCCTGTGTGTAAATCAAGCCATTAATCAAAGCGCTGACATGAGGAGTGAGTGACTGCAAAGCCGAGGGGAAAGGAAAATGGTCTGATGGCATTCAGTTTCGTGGATCTGCTGAGGATGAGTTTGACCTCACGGTTATGACAGCGATCGGGCTACTCTACACCTCCGAACAGCATCACTGTTTCCTGAACGAGTGGCTTTGTCGGTCCACTGCTGAGTCATGATGACATTGAGAATGTCCTTTAATAAGCGTGTTAGAGCTGCGGCTGCTTTATCGCTTGTCTTTATCTCAGGCAGTGTGAGTGCTGCAGTCAGGGGAAGCAGGACCTTGCTGAAAAATTAAAATCCAACCCAACCCTTTACTCCAGTCAGGCAAATTAAAAATAATTAAAGCCTGTAATAAATACACAAAAACCTCCTCCCATGGCTTTGCTTGGAATTAATTTCCCATTCTGCTGTGGTATATTAAATACTGTGGGTCCTTGCTTACCTGCCAGAAAGCAAAGAAATTGCCATCACTTCTGTTAATATCTGGGGAATGGAGCACTGTCTCCAATATGAATGCATTCACTCAAATCTATAATTGATTGAGGCTTTAAGGCTTGTTTTTTGTCTCCCTGGATGGTCAGCAGGATCTGATGTAATGAGATGCCTGGAGGTTTTTCGCAGACATTCTTCGGCTGCTTTTGCGGAGCACGTATCCAAGAAAGAGAAAAGAACCCCCTCGATTTTAAGCCAGCTGAGAGATAATTCTGACATTGTCTTCTAAATGTATAATTTGTAATCTTGTGCGTCTAAAAAGAGTATGAAAAGACAATTCTGTTACATTCCAATCGTTAAATAAATCAGTGTCGCTCTGATCTGCTTTTCCTGATTGCTGTAGGCAGAGTTTTCCAAGGAGATCTCCAAGCAAATTTGCTATTTAGTTGAGCGCTCGCTTCGGATATCTCACTTTTACAGTCTAATAAAATAACCCACCCCCACCCTCGTCTTTGCTATCCTCTTTGCAAGCTTATTGTTATATATTGCCCGATAATGCCTTCACCGCAGGTACATTTATGACTATTTACCACCAAAGTCTGTTTTTTAAGCTGGTAAGATATAAACACACATACGCACGTCAGCGTTGCTCATCTCTTGTGCTCATTACGAAGGTGAATTTCAAGGTTAAGGATGTTTTGACAGAGAAATGTTTGAAATCATGCCTGATTGGCGGCTGGTTTTGTTTTCCGTCCTTGATGTCGCTCACATCGGGTCGTCTCTGCGTGAGTGAGTGACAGGATATAAGGTAAAACGGGAAATCTCAGTCACCGCTGTTGTCACACTGAGTATGTAAGTAACAAAGCTGGCAGCACAGGAGGATGACTGTCTCCCTAACAACTGTCTTTGTCTTGCACAGATAGGAAGGAATCACAGTGATGGATAATGACTTGACGGACTATGTCCTTTGGCCAAAGTTGCCTGGCACTGAGGATTTTTTTTTTGTCTGTCTTTTTTGCTTTATATGCCGGCCGGGAGAGAAAAAGAAAGGGAGAGGCAAAATGTTGTGGCTGTGATTGGAGAATGAAGCAGGGAAGTGGCGTGTGATACAGGGAAGGGGAGCCATGCTGGAGATGAAGCGACTTCTCACACTGGGCCAGGTGATGAGTTGATGCTTGGAAACGAATATTAAACTGCAAAATCACCGGTGAACGTCGTCTTTTTTTTTTCTTTTGAAACAGATTTACAACTTCATGCACCTCCCAGTGGTTGCCGACTGTCACATTGCCATCACACCGTCGGCGGGGTGCTGAGTTTCTGACACACACACAAATAGAAGGCGTTAATATGCTTGGCATGATAGACCGTGAAATGATAGACCCCGAAAAATTTGCGACACCTACACTCTCGCTTTGTTTCTCTCCATTTCAACTCTGACTCCAGCCTGCGATGAATCGGAATTGGAAGGAGGATTGAAGTGACGTATCAAAAAAGCAAAAGCTTGCGTCATAAATTCTTCATTGGCTGGATGAATAGCTGAAGGTGACAAGCCTAAAGTCCCTCTCTGAATACAAATTGATGTACAGTAAAGCTGAGTGGAGAATTCTGTTTTTTCATGCATGAAGGCTCTCTGCAGACAAATGCGAGCGATATGGTAATCTCTCTTGGATTGCGTGCCGCTGCACTGCAAGCAGAGCTGTGACATGTCATGTAGCTTGTACTGAATTTTTGGGACAAGTGAGAAACTGAAGGCCTGTGACCTTGGCAGTCACTGCACCCAAGTGTGAAAAAAGGCAAAAAATAAAGTAGGAATGTTGCAGCAAAAAGTGCCTCTTGAGCGAGTCGGAAAAACCTCGTAGTCATCCATCTTCATCGCGCATAACGTGAATGCTTTATGTTGAAGCATGCAGTAATTATTTGGACGCATTAATCACCTTGTTTTTTTTCTCAGTCGCAAAATCTCATCACGAGCTGAAGATTCTTTGTTTTGCACAGATAAATTCCAAAGCAGTGTCAAAATATGATTAATTTTTCATTATGCTCCCCTTTACACTTTGTTCTCCTTTTGCTACAATGATGTAGTGAAATATTAATGACAGGACACACATTCATAGTCGTGGCGTCTTCAACTCTGTTTTTCTGGTGCCTCTCCTGCTGCTTATGCTTCTTTCCTGTTGTTTCATAATCAGATCAGCGTTCATATCGCACCCAAAGCCGCCAAGTGGAAAAAGGAGCAAGCTCAGTCAATGAGATTATGAATGTATGACTGCCTCTCCAGTGTGTTGAGAAATGTTGCCTCCTCCACTAGAACGCTGTCTCCAAGTACACGATAAACATCCCCAAAAATATGTTAAAGGAGCCACTCCTCTGGCGGGGTTTTTTTTTAAATTTTATTTCTGGGTGAAGTTTGCCAACTCACCTCAGCTGCAGCGTGGCCTAATTCTAAGAAAAAAAAAGGCTAAAGATGTTTCTCGTCCTCTAGGTGGTGTTTTCCTGTGACGCCAGTGGGAGTCGCCTGCCTTAGCTCTGACTCTTTGACTGCCAGCTGATCAGAATGCTGTCGTGGAACCTGTGATGGAGACCAGGGCTTGATATCTGGTGAGTTTGTCACGTTTTTTCCCCCACACCCCCAAGTCGGGGTATTGACTGTGAATCGTTGCAGCTCCACTATGCTGAAAATGTTAGCAGTGATGCATCAGCAGATTACAGATGCAGCGCTTTGCAGATCAATTCATTACAGGCAATACAGTGAAACTACAGGTGCAGAGCAGAACTGGGTCAAGTATGGAAATGATCTTTTTTTTTTTTTTTTGCAGCTAGGCACCCAAAAGGGTAAATAAAATCCAGATTCAGCTTTATTTGCTAGGTATGTTTACCGTGAATTTAAATCAGGATTCCAGTGGCTCTCAGTGTGCAGTGAACAGATGTACAGTGACATACATACGAACACATATCTCGAGAAAGCTAAACAAAGAGAAGCAAACATCAACATATGGCTGTTATGTACATGCGTGGAGGTATGAAAACAAAAGGTACACATACTGCACACAACAGCATCTAATGTCGACAGGGTGACCAAACTTTACAAGAGTGGGTGGGAGTGTAAAGACTGTTGGATAAATATTGAGTGGCTAATTAAAGTTACTACTTGGGATGCAACTTTGTTTGCATCCAGTAAAAGGTTTATGTAGAGTTTATAGAGCTAGTTTTGCTTTACATTTGGCAGTAACGGATGTTATTGCGCAATCCATCTATGAATCTGTCATATATGTAAGCTGTCAGGCCAGGAGATGTTTCAGGGAATGACAGGTTGTACATTTGTAGGAGAATATTTTTTTAAATGTACAGATTAAAAGGTTTTCTGCAGTCGTAGTGCCTCCTTCAACCTTGACACAACAACGCCCACCGATGTTGTATACTATTCTACCGTATGCTAACCTGAAAAGGCCAAATAACAATCTTTTTTATCATCGTTTCTATTCTGCCATTCTTATTTTGTCATTGTAGCATACGTATGTGCTCCAGTGAAAATGGAAAACTGAACAAAACAAGATTTTCAAACATGAGGGGGGAGGTTTACATTTGTCCATATGTGCTCAGAAACATACTTCCTTGAATTCATTCCTCTCCTAACTAAACAGAATTTAAACTGCAAACTCACATAGCATCTTTGCATTGACTTGTCTAACTCTGCCAATAACATGTCTTATGTGTGGCACAAAAGCAAACAAAAACGTTCTATCTGGAGTTGTAGCGTAATTGAGTGCATCTCTAACCAACCCGAAACGGGCCATAAAACGCTCTTCAAAACCCTGCAGCAGTACATAAACGCGGCTTCATGTTTCAATCGTACGATATATAACATGAGACTATTAATTAAAACTTGTTACATGAGAGGATGGAGTTAATGATCTGTGCTGCGTCTTCAGAGAGCAGTCAGCCGAGAATAATTGTGCGCATCAGAAGTGTGGTACGTACCTGCATCCCCACAGCATCTGTCTGCTGTGCTCCAAGTAGGTTTGCATCCTGAAAATGTCACCGCAGCTACATCCAGGCGCTATTTCGGATCCAGCGTGCTGCCAGTAACTGCTGAGGGCGTAGTTTTAGGTAAAGGTCTGGGTAAGTCTCTGGAGGAGGAGGATGGGAGGGAGTACAGTAAGGAGGAGGAGGAGGAGGAGGAGGAGGAGAGCGGGTGGGAGGTGAGGTTATTTTGCCTACCCCTGACCCTCTGCGGTCAGAGCCCCTGTGGTTTCAGCGGTCAGGGGGGGAATCACACAGCGCTGAGAACAAAGAAATATGATGGCTCCCACTTGTCCTCCTCTGGTTCAAAGGGAATGGCAGGGCAATGCTAATTAGCCAGCTTGTGTTACTGAATTGAACATAACTGCTGTTCCCCTCAGTGTTCCCCCCCTCCCCTTCGTCGTACGCCTAACAAGCAGCGTCTACAGCAGTCATGCACCCTGCATAACTATGCATTTATTTATTTATTTATTTTGCACTGGGAGACATCCTGTTCTGTTTGTGTCTTAAAAAAGGAAATAATTCCCATAGTTAAATTAATCCTTTTGGAGAGATTTCCCCCCCCAAAAAAATTCACCTTTCCCTGTCAAATAAAAGCAATTGCAAAAGTGTTGCAATTTTCGTCTCGTATTCTTTTGACATCTTTTTTTTCCCCAGCTGCTCTTCTGAGTGCAGCTTAATCCGGGTTGTCAAGTTTAAAGGCGATAAGAGGCGTAACAACAGGATCCCCCTCCGGTTCATGTGTGCTTACGTAAAATTATACCACTGCAAACTGAGAAAATGGTGTTCTATCGGTAGGTAGTGAATACATTTCTTCAATCAGGGATCGAGGGGGGGAGCGAGGAGGAGGTCAAGTTATTACCCTCTCATATTCAAAATTCCAATGACGGCACTGTGCACATACACCTCTCCTCCCCTGTGTTCTGTGGTCTGCTCCTCTTGTCAAAGTAATATGAGTCTTTGCAGTCAGTGTTTCCTGGAATACCAAGTGTTGAAAGCAGGCGGCAGGCGGCGTCGAGTCTCAGTTCGGGGGCGTTCTTCGGGTCTACGGCACGTGTCGCCACGTTGAGATAACATCTGCACCTGATTCTTGTTTGTGCGGCTCTAATCATCGGCAGAAATTAAGCTATACAACCCGTGTCAGCCTCCGTCTCTCCGAATAACAAGGGGCTTTGTGAATTTGAAATGGCGTCGCTGAAGCTATTTCAAACAATACTGGAGGAAAATGTGGTAAAAAAATCAAACACACCTGCGTGCGTGTGAGCACAAGTCAGAAGCAATAGACGCGTAGCTCCAGGGGAGTTGTGCTCGGCGTCTTGGTGCTTTCTCTCTTTCCCTCTACCAGTCAAATATCTTTTTGTTCGTGCAGATGCTCTCAGGGTTGGCAAACACATTGAAGACTGAGTCACTTAAACATTCTCATCTTGACACACAGCTGATTCATGGTCTATTGATTTCCTCATACATCAGAATCTTTTGTACTGTTTTGCTGTTATGTATGTATACAGGAAAGAGGGCATCGCTGCTCCGAGGCACATGCGTCTGTCTCCGAGCTCCCTGTTTTTTTGCGGAATGGCATGATTAAAAGCTCAGAGGCATGTTTAATGACACATGGAGGTGCAACCTTATTGCATAAGCATCATCATTAGTTACAAGGAGCATAGCTGAGTTTAAGAAGCCATTTACAATAATGGCCAAGAATAGCACAATCAGTGTTTGCGAGCATAAACAAGCTGCTCTCTCCCAGAGCAGCAAAACAAGAGACCCTCTGATCTGTGTTGTCATGCAAGTGTAAACCCCGGAGCTCATTCATTCAAAAAATAAAAGGTGCATTACATTTTGATGTAACTTTTACTGCGGCGCTTGAATCCAACGAGGCAAGCTCTTAACATAAAAAGGTATCCGTAACCAAAGGAAAATTTCTCTACTCGCGGGTCTCTTTCATAAATTTATCATTTTCTTCGCTGTTGCAGAAGTCATTAGGGCATCGCAAATTACAGAGCAGGACAAACTCTTCTGTCTCCTCTCTGGCAACACAGCAGGTAAAAGTTCAGACGGAAACACGCTGAAGTTTTAGCTTGTTTTTCTTTTTAAATACTGAAGATAAATTGGTTTCCCGAAGGCGGGCTCACAACATATCTCAAGTTAATTATGCTTTGTCGTGTATATTGTATGAATATTGTATGTTTGATGTGTGTTCAGACACAGCTTTGGAAATAGCGCCGTGCTCACTTGAATTGCATTAATGAATAATATTCTAGGCTTTTTCTATTTTTTTTCAAAGCTAATTAAAGCTTTTCTCTAAATTCTAAAACAAAAATGAGTGTTCACTAAAACAGTATATGATACTTTATGCAAATAGAACAGGCTGTTTATTTAAAGTACTATTTATAAATATCTACAATAGCTCTAGGGAAAGGCCTCTACCACCTCCTGTGCAGAGAAACGCAGAAACAGGCCTAATGTTCTCCATTTGCCTCTCTTTCATCATAAATGCGAACATCCCTCCTTAAGTTTCTACCACACTGCTGTGAGCTGTGAGTGGCTCCTGATATAATGTCGCCGCCACTGTCTGTGCCCATCTGTGCATTGGTCTAAACAAGGCCGTGACAGGGGTCCCCCCCTCCCCAACCTTACTTCCTTTCATATCATTTACCAAACACAGCGTAAGGGAGGGAGTAGGCTGCATGATAGTGGCAGACGAGTAGCTGGTTATGAGCCACAGCTCCTCCATTGTCTACCATGGTGGAGAAAGAGTGGGAGCCCCTAAAGAGGCCTGGCAGAGTCTCTGCTTCCATCTGCCCGCATGCCTCGCCATGGAGCCCAGCTCGCACCACTTGAGATTATACTCACGTCCAAGCTGTTACTGTAATTTGCATTGGCTCATAGGCAGAGGAGAGTGAGGAGGAGGAGGAGCTGCACATGAGGCAGGGATGTTATAAGTGGTCCTGGCAGCACAATGAGCTTGCCTGGGTGTAGTATTATGGACAAGTGGCATGGGCAGAGCTATATTAAAGTGCAGTAATGGGATTGAGCAGGTTGCCCTGCTGCTCAAGATTATTGTCTGTGTTAGCACATGAAGTAAATTACAGAAATTTTCTGTTTGAAACTACCTCAGATGCATTCGGCGCCGGTGCTGCACACTTTATAGCCGCTCCCGCCTCGAGCAGCTTATGCAAACTATCAGTCACGATACATAAAGCAAATAAAATACGTGTCACTCTGGCTATACCCTTTGTTATGTATTCCGCTAATTAGCAAGTGATTTCCCTGTAATTCATTCAGATGAAAGATCACACACCAGGAGAAAACCCACGCAAGCACCGGAAAAAAAAACATAAGCACCAGTCTCAAGAAGAAAAGGCCAGGGCTGAGGATCAAAACAAGAAAAACGAAAACGCACAAGTTACTGAGCTGCCCTCTCTGTTTCAGATCATACATCAAACCTGGGAAGCGATCATAAAATCTTCCATAAGAATTCATTTAAAAAATCCAAGGCGGCAGCTTTGTTTACACCATTTTCTGAACTGAATTGGTATTTGCATTGAACATGGCAGCAGCAGCAGCCATTTGGGAGA